TTGTGCACTTGTCACTTTGTAAGGAATCATGTTTGTGAGTGGGGGTTCGCCACTGCCTCAGTGATGACAATCAACGCGAGGCAGAGGAAGGGGAATGAGAGGGAGTGCCATTGTATCTCTGTTCATACCACCATTGTGTGCCATACTTCTCGCCAATGGTGCATTTTTAATAACACTAAGACTTTAATCCGGTTAACGAACCCAGACAAATGTGGCTGTGCAATGTCTAGGCTCATGCTAACCCTCAAAATCTCCTACTTTACAAGCCAAGTACACTGAGTGGCGCAGCGCTTGATCAAGGCACGACCTCTGTCGGTGTGGCTGTAGTGATTCGTATTACCTTAACTCTTCATGCTTCAGATGACACGTACCTTACCTGTGGCCTTCTAAGTGTACGGATGGACCTGAGACGTCTTCTTGTTACCGCATTGAGATCAAGAATACTATGCCGCTACCTCCTGGATCTAAATTTAATTTGCAACCTTATTGTAGAACCTACTGCTAGTTCGCTAAGGTGTTTCGAGGTCTTGTGTTAGGCTTACCACTGCGCAGCGACACAATGGCATCAAGTTGCCAAAACGTGCTAGACTAGCAAGAGGAGCTTTCTGTTCTTCGCTCCGATGTGGTCGATGTGATTGACATCCCCAACACTGCGATCGTAATACATCGGTTCGGCGAGTAAAGTTAGAACATCACCTTCTTCAGAATTCCATCCAATCATGCGCGTGTGAATATCTGAATGGCTAGCAGACTAGTGACCGAATTTCTGTGTTCCCTTTCATTGTCACCTGTTCACGGTGGACATGCATACATCCACCGTAACCTTTTTGACTCCGGAGTATCCTACGTATCCAGTTTCGGAGAGACCCTCAAAATGAGCACACTTCCTTCACTAAAGTTAGTGTCCTATATCTCACCACCTATTGGTGATGTTTTCCTTCCAACTGTCTCCAAACACGGCATGCCAATGCAGTCGTCTTGAATTGCACAAATGGTATCACCTGTGTTACATGGATGTGCATCTGGAAGGAGAACTAACTCATTGACTTCTTACGACTATAGATGCATCCAACACGTACTTAAATATTTGGCTTACAAACACATTGAAGAGGTTATTAGTAGACGAGGAGGACGGACCGGAGGCAATGGAGGCTGCGTGTCATGCGCTATCATGAATCACCAACTCTAACTCGTTCGCCTCGTTACCGTCGAGGTTTACGTGACTTGTCTTAGGTGGGAAGGCAGCGGCAATGAGAGGAGCGTGAAAGAGTGTTTGACTGTTGAGAAGACTCCGCTGACATTGAGGGAAGAAGAAATAAGGAGCTGGGAAGGAGGAGGGAGGCAATGTGATCCTGCCTACTTGCACTGCACGGCTTTTGTGAGAGGCATAGGAGAGTAGTGGACCTGGTCCAAATAATGTTTTCTTGCTCCGTCCTTAGGTGGACAACTCAGAGATGAGGAAGGGTGATGCTGAGGAACGCAAATGAGAAAGGACAGTTGCGGCCACCTGACCGGAGACAACGATTTTATTTCCAATTACCTGAGGGAGGTGCCCAAACATCTTACTGAAGATGGTCGTCATTGTCATTGGTGTGGACTAGTGTTACATGTTGCAAAGGGGAAAGGGAAGAAGTGGCGGGATCGATTGCTTGCGCATATACTTGACTCGTTCAGCTTTGCAGTGTAAGCTGGAGATGAGTTCGTTTGAGAGGATCCTTTTAACACTAACATGCGCCAAAAATGCGTGTCTCTTGACCACTTACCAGCGGACTACGTCCTGCCTACACCGCGACAAGTTGATGGTAATTTTAGGGTACTATTCACGGACAGTAGACAGCGTCCTCGCCTTCGAAGTCCTTAAAATACACACAAGAACAGCAGGAAGGAATGGGGAAGAAACGTGAGTACGATTGCTGCATAGTGGCTACCCCACCTGCCTCGGCGAATGACCTCGTTTTTCAACGTATTCCATGTCCGCTTTTATGCAGTACCCTACAAAAACACACAATTGGAAATTGTATGATCTGGGCGGTCTCATACTCTTTTGCTCTCGCCCTTTACTGCTCATTTCGCTGCTCGTGAACAATGAGTCCGCCTTGACTTACCCATCCAATCTTCCACTCCTTCATACGCACTGCTTCCAACCCGTTCTCCATTTCCTCGCATTCCCCTTCTTGTTGCTGGGTCCAGTGGAAGGCGTATGACTGCAAGGTCTCGCAGTCCAATTTCAATTAACGACTTTACCCATAAAATGACGACCTCTGTAGTCTGACATTCGTACGTCCTGTTTTTTCTGACTATGGTTGGTAAACAATTCCCACCGGTAAACGAGAAGACGCCTCAGGTCTGTCTTTTTGCTAATCCCCTCCTAAAAGTCGCATTTTACTATCACACCAGTGGGCTTAGTCCCGCGGATGTAAAAAATGTGCAGCCTGATGTCGCCACACTGCAGTTGGTGGGACCGTGCCCTCTATACTCCCTGAAGCCTCAAATCATGCCGCATCTTATGTTATGATGAAAAAGGTTTTTTCCTTCCACACTGCATGCATCCACATCTGAATCTACAGACTCAGGATCGCACAAGTGCCTCAAAACTGCCTTAGGGACAAGGAAACCCTATAAGTAGGCACATTGCATGCAAGTACAATAAGGAAATGCTTTTACTTGCTGACAGGATTTGTAATCAGGTAGATAAAAAATGAAATGGCAAGTGACTGATATTCATTGGATCGAAGAAAACGACAGCAATTCACATCGTAGATCATGGCACCATAGTGTAGTCATCGGCCGGCGCTATTTTCATCAGTGTTGAAAAGGACACTGTCGCGTCGCCTCTCATTAGCATCACACCGTTGGAAAGATGGTTGACTTTGAGATCAACAAGCTCTCTCACAATCTCAACTTGGATTAGCGTCTTCGTCCACGGAGAAGTGGGATCGCGGACGCGGAATTCGCCGGCCGTAAACTGTGTCTGCACGTAGGCGTGGGGACACAGGCATGAAAGCGATTTCCTGCAAATAAGGACAAGATTAGCATCTCATAATGGTGGTACGGGTAAGAGAAATGTTGCTTGTTGTTACCTTGCCTGCCAAGTGGGTATTCGGAAGAGGTGCCGCAAGGTCGTTCAATTAACACCAGCATGGGGGAGGACAAGAGCCTGTGGAACGTAGCCTTCACACCTGTTATGCCTACTATCGTTTTGAGATCGTCAGACCTCCTGCTGAACATTGGTCTCACGGAAGTGTTGTTAGGCAGCTGTTGCTCACCCATTCTAGCATACATTATGCGAGCACTTCTCCCATCCACCAGTCAACTGCCCCTTCAACTCCAAAAGTGGTGGATTCA